TGTTCCCGGCTCTGCCAGCCTGGTAAAGCAAATCTTGATGAGAGCGAAACGCTGGCGGGGCAGCTCGCGCTGCTCCGGGGGCCGGTGCCGCTTCCCTGCCGCTCTTAAATGCAATTAATAAAGTGGAATAACCTGGTTTCTTCCTAAGGATTAGGTTAAGAAAACAAGACGGTTTTAATAGACCTTTTACATCCTGCGTAGGTTTTGGTTGGAAAACCCAACTGGTTTGGCAGCGCAGCCAAACAGCACATCTTTTCTTTTTCTTTTTCTTCCTCTGTTTCTCGCCCCTAACCTGATGCCAGGGGTCCTGTGCAAGCGGGCTCCTACCGATAATTCAAGCGCCCAGCTCCTGGCTGTGCTGTTTTGTCCGATTTTCCATTGCCTCCTGACCTCCATCCTTCTTTATTTGCAAAGCTATACTCGCAGGCAGCGGTAATAAATCAATTAATGACTCTGATGAATCGTTTAATGGCTGACAAAATAACACTACAGTCAACAGCTTGGATCTCTACAGCAGTACCAGAAGACGCTGGTTGACTCAGGGTAGGGAGACGAAACAGAGACTGTTAGCTCAATTAGTGCAATTAGTGTGCGATTTAAAGGCTTAGACGGCATCTGCTGGCGTACCGAGCCGGTGTGTTAACTGAGAGCTTCGCTTTGGAAGCGAAACGCGGCGATCCAGATTGTCATCGCTCCGCTCGCTTCCACCGAAAGCGGGGAGCATATCCAGCCTACGTGGGGAAAAAAAGAAAATTTTTAAAAAGTATATATATATGTCTATATCTGTATGTGCATAGCCCAGCAACTGCATTTTGCTTTCAGCACGGGGCAAATTTACCTTCTAATAACTGGCAAGCGAGCCGGCGTGCTGGTGCCAGTCTCCTGCCTGGCCCTTCGGCATCTCTGCCTTGCCCGTACCTGTGCCGGTGGGTTTTGGCGGGGCTCAGAAACTCACCCAGCAGAAGGGGAAAACTCCAGCCAAAAACCTCCAGAGTCCCTCAAGATAGCTTCTTAACCAAAATGGTGGAAATAAACCAGGTGGGAGGAAGCTGGAGGGCAAAAAAGTCCTGTTTGTTTGGAAATTGGTGCTGGAAAGCCCTTGGGGTTCAGGTGCTGACCCTTTGGGTTCGGGTGCTGACCCTCGGAGTTTGGGTGCTCCCCCTTGGGGTCTGGCTGCTGACCCTTGGGGTTTGGGTGATGACCCCTGGGGTTCAGGTGCTGACCCTTTGGGTTTGGCTGCTGACCCTTGGGGTTCGGGTGCTGACCCTCAGGGTTTGGCTGCTGACCCTTGGGCTTTGGGTGATGACCCTTTGGGTTTGGGTGCTGACCCTTGGGGTTTGGGATATTTGTTCCCCCTTTTTCCTCCCTTTTTGGCACATCCCAAGGGTTTTGCAGAGCTGTTCCAGCTGTGGCTGCGCTCCCGTCGCTTCTGTGGGGCTAAAGGTGCCTCCGTGTTTACCTTAGCGGCGGCGATGGGGAGGGGAATAAAAAAGAAATAAAATGTCACTTCGCAGCCTTGTAAATCATTCATCAAGGGCTGACCAATTTGGCTCCCATCCTACAATATGCTCAGGGCACTTGTGGGTTTTTAATTACCGAGTTCTGCCAAGCGCCACATGTGCGAGGAACTTTAAATCCCCGTTTATGCCGTGGAGGCATAGGTGAGGTTTCAGGGTGTTTAACGTGGAAAAATACTCTGCGGTTTTGTGGAAAAATGGGCATTTACTGCAAGGTTTTCTTTGGCTGCTTTGCCCTCCTCCCGCCGCTCCCTGTTGCAGAGAGAAGGAGGAGGGCAGCGTGCTTTCCCCCTGGATCCCCAAATACGTGCCCGGCCTCACTCCCCACCGCTTCAGGATCCGTTTCGCTTTGGGAGATTCCCCCAGCAAAGGACTGTGGTGTGCTGGAAATCTCTTGAAACCATAAAATATCACCTTGGCAGCTTTATTGCAGCGCTCGCTGCCTTGGGAGAGAAGCGTTTTGCGTGATAGAGGGTTTAATAAAGGAAATTCCAAATGGGCTCGCTGCAGTTTGGGGCTCGGTCTTATATATTTTTGCATTAAGAACCGTCATCTGCTTTGCAGAGAAACTGCAATATGTTCATGGCCTTGGATTAAGATTTGGTTTTACTTTTATAGCTGACCCACTTGGGGGGATGGAGGGAGGGGGAGAACTGGGTTCACTCCCTCTCCCGTCTATTTTTGCTGCCGTCTGATGTATAAAAAGAGCCTGGAATGGGCAGGCTTATTTTTCCTGCCAGGATTCTTTTTTTTATTAACTGTAAAAACACTCAGATCTGGCCTTTGCTGTTGCTGTGGGGAAGGCTGCTTGGGATGCCGTGTTCGGGGGCACAGGGAGAGTGTGGCGTGGGCTGTGCGCGGGGCTGCAGAACCCCAGAGCCTCGGGGGACCCCGGGTGTCTCGCCGAGGGGGTCTCTTTTTGGGGAGTCGTCCTGCGCTGTCATCTCCGGCGCCTGCAGCTCTGAGGTGCTGGGGTGGGAAAAGCAACCGCTCATCCGGCGTGGTCCTGGCCTTCATCCCGCATCCCGCACCCCAGCTCCTGCCGGAGGGCGTGATGGAGGGGGGCTCGAGGGATGGCCCCCGGGAAGGCTCGAGGCAGCGGTTAGCCCAGTGCTCCCCAGCCTCTGCAGAGCTTTCTGGTCTGGAATAGCGAGATTCCCAACCAAACATGGGGGTCCCACCTTGGTCAGCCTTAGTCCTTAATGGTAATCCTTAATTTTCTGGGCTGCCCCAGTCGTGACAGCCCGGCTTTCCCCCTCTGCTCACATCTCACGGTTATCGGATGCGGTCAGGGGCCGGGGCTGGCTCGGCTGCTGGCGGGATGCCGTGTTTGGTGGGGTTGGGGTGCTCCAGGCGTTGGGGTAAAATCAAGCCTGAGCAGGCTCACGTGTACCCCGTCTGCTCGTGAGATTTCTGCAGCAGGAAATTTTTCCACCAGTTTTTTTCACGGTGGATGGTTTCCCTCAGCCCTGCCATGTGGTTTGAGGTGGGTAAGTCCATCGTAAAAATTAGTGGAGGGAGTAGTTCAGCGATCCAAACGCCATTAATGTCACTGAGGCTCCCTTGTAACTGCCCTGGGAACGGGGGTTCGTTTGGCGATGGGTACGGCACAGGCACCCCCTAACCCGGCAGGGACGTGTGTCCGCAGGGGTCTTTGGGGAAAGAGCTTTTTCTCACCGTTTTCCTTCTGGATGGGAGCTGGTGCTTTCCCAAGGTGGTTTGGTGCATTCCCTCGGCACTGCCAACCCTGCTCCTTGCACTGGAAAAAACGCTTTTGTCTGTCAACGTGCGTCGCGGGGAGGGAGTAAATGCAAATAGAGGTGCTGAGCAGGAGCGAGCGGGGTGCCTGGGTACCCCGTCTCCGTCCCTGCCCCTCCTTTTTGGGGCTGGAGCCGCTCAGGGGGCTCGTCCTGGGGAGGCACGGGCAGGAGCGTGACCCCGCAGATTGGGTGCAGTGAAGTTGGAAATTCGTAACGAAAGCTCGGCGTGCTGGGGAGGTCAGGGGAGCGGCCTTTTCGGAGGACAGAACTGAACCGGCGCGCGTGCAGGGGGAGGTGGGGTAAGAAAAGCGCTTAAAAAGCCTTAAAACAGCTTCTGCCTGAAGTGATGCGTTGGATGAGGCTCCTCGGTGGATTAACGAGACGAAATGCCTGGGTAAATGAATAAATAAGCCCCAGAATTATCCCCAGTTTTTGCGCGGCCATCTTCTCCATGGGTGAACTGCAGAGGCTGGGGCCCCTCTGTCTGCCAGCATCCTCTGCTCGTTCCATGGCGAGGGGAAGATGCTCGGGGCACGGGCCTCCCCCCCCCCTTCCTCCTCCTCCTCCTCGGTGCGGATCATGTTCGCCAAAGGGAAGGGCTCTGCGGTACCCTCAGATGGACAGGCGTGGGAGAAGCTGGCCCTGTACGTCTATGAGTACCTGCTGCACATCGACGTGCAGAAGTCGGCGCAGACCTTCCTGTCCGAGATCCGGTGGGAGAAGAACATCACACTGGGCGAGCTCCCCGGCTTCCTGCACTCCTGGTGGTGCGTGTTCTGGGACCTGTACTGCGCAGCACCCGAGAGGCGAGACACTTGCGAACACTCGAAGTGAAAGCCTTCGTTCCCCGCAGAGCGCAGCTGCTGCCCCGAGTCCCGTGCTTGGAAACATTCCCCCGAACGACGGGATGCCCGGGGGCCCCATCCCGCCCGGTTTCTTCCAGGTAGGAACGCCGCTCCTCCCGACGCTCGCCTCCGCACCGTGCCCGTGGTCGCTTGCGTTCTGGGTGTCAGCGCTGTCGTGCCTGTGGTTTGATTTTTTTTCCGAGGGGATGCTAGGGAAGCAGCATGCCCGTGTAGCTGACCTGTGTAGAAATAACTCGTGTTCTGCCGTCCTCCACGTTTGCTTTCTGTTTTTTGTGGCCTTAAAGCGAATTTCTTTCTTCCTCGAAGAGGTTACTGTGTATTTACAACTGATGCTTTTTTCCAAAGCTGCTTGGTTTGTGTTTGGGTTGGGATTGTATTCGTTCTCCGGTCCTAACAGACGTGCATAATTGAAAACATTCTGGATTTTGATTCCTGAAACTTCCCCCCCACCCCCTGGTTAACCGCTTGATTTTTTCCAAATGCAAACACTCAGAGCATTAACGAACGCTGGCTGCGGCTGCAGGCAGGAGCCGGCTCCAGCCAAGTCCCCGGCTGCCGTGGAGGCACCTTGTAAGCAAATACCTCGCAAAGTCCCCAAAGTCCCCTCGCTCCTTCCTTCTCCCGTGCTGCGCTCGGACCGAGGAGGGGGTAACGTACGTTTGGAGTGACGCTGACGGAAAAGATCTCGACAAGCACACGGAAAACGAGTTTTCAGAACTTGAACCGTGAGGGTTTTTTGGGGTTTCTCTGGAATCTCTTTGCATGGCGTGAGCTGCACGGGTTTGCAGCGGCGTAAGCTCTCGGTGCATTAAAGTCTGCCTTCTTGAGGAAGAAACACTTGTTCCTGTAACAAGTGGGATAACAGTTGAAAGGAATATTTGTTTTGGCAAGGTGCTTTTTCATAATCTGGGCTTATGATTTGTATGTGGGAGAACTTCTTGGGCAGCAGACAGGCGGACTCGATAAGGCACTTGTGATTTATTGTGGTGATATCTGAGCCCGATACCGCCGTTTGCCTGTGTATGGGAAGGGGGAAGGAGGGTCCTGTCTTTTTTCTTTGGAGAGATCCCATTTCCTGAACATGCTTCTGACAAAGTGAGAATATCCGATGTTGATCGGGAACCCTAAAACAGGCGAATCTCGTAGCAGCGCTCGGCGGCGCGGGGTGAAGCCAAGAGCAGAGATGCTATCTCGCAGGTCATAGCTGCTGCCAGCAGCTCGAGTGCCAAGCTGCTGCTTCCAACAAATGTGTCTCCAAAAGTCCTGATCTCGCCCCGCGGCGAAGCTGACTGTCCTTTGGGGCTCCTGCTTCATGCAGAGCTGTGAGGGCTGCAAACTTGGCACCAAGTTAGGGCAAGGCTTCAAGAGCATGGGTTGGCTTTCCCAGAGAGGGGAAGGTGAGGAAGAGGAGCTGCGTCTCCCCAGACACGCTGTGCGTGCTCCCATCTCGACTCTTCCCGTTGACAGCCTCCAAGCTGTCCCCCCTGCTTTCCTTTCTGCCCTCCCGCAGGATTTTTGCGCTGCGGGTCCAATTCAGGAGCAGACAACCTGTCCCAGCTCCCAACCTCTCGTGCAGCTGGACCAGGAGCCGCTGGGGAAGAGGGGCTTGAAACAGCCCTGCTTGGTGGGGAGGGTCCTGAAAACCCATCAGGAGCAACGGCGCTGGTGCAGGTGTCGTGTGCGGGGACGCTGCCCGTCCCCAGAGCTGCCGGAGGGAAGAGAGGACGGGTACCGATGCATATGGCTCGCATGTGACATCTCAAGAGCCTGCCTTTCCTGAAAGCCCTCCAACATCTGGTTTCTCCTCCCAGCCCTGGGGACGGAGGGGAGGAGGGGAGAAGAAAAATCCCACCTTTTAACACAGTCTGAACATTGCCTCCATGAAAGCCCGTCTGATTTATTGCGGGCGCTGGAGCTCGTTCCAGCTTTGGGAGGTGCTGGAGAGCAGCTCTTGCAGAGGGGGGCTGGAGGCTCGGCGGCGAGCCGGTTGCAGCTCGGGGGTAATTTCTTACCTCTGTGGGAAATTAAAGCGCTGAACTTAAGGGTGCAAAACCAAAAAGGTCCAAGGAGGTGCAAG